CATGTTTCTAATAGTTCACAGTTTCCCTGGAACTCAACTTATTATTCGCTATATGTCAAGGACACAAGGAGGGGACTTCAGGAAGAAATGAATATTACCATAATTACCAGAAAACTTTTACTTGAAACATACCTAGTCCCATATCAAACCACTTCTTAAGAGTATATATTGTCAAATTTACATTTATATGAACCTTATAAGGTTCAAAATCAAATAAAAAAGTTTGAATCATTGAGGTAAAAATGTAAAGATGAGAGAATACACATAAAGTATATTTAATTTGGTTATTTAGGTAAATTCCACATGTGTTGGAAATTGCGTCTGTTAATGCTTGGGTAAGATGTTGCATTTTCTGAAAATTAATTTAATGTATTAATTAAGTTATATGCATCTAGGGATAAGAAGGCTTCCAAAACATGATGAAATTCACTTCTTTATACATATATAGAAAAAACGTTTCATATACTCTGAGGAAGGGGTGGAGTTTTCGTATAGAAAGGCCAGATATCAAAACTTCGGTTTGGATATAATTTCCGTTTAGGGATACCCAGTGACTTACAGGAATTTTATCAAATCCCTATTTTAGGGTATTGGCAGACCCGGTTCAAAAAGATAGAGAATTCCTAATGTCCGCAGTATGTATCAACAAATTATAAGTAAATTACTAAACAAATGCTTACTTTATCCAGCACCATAAACGGAGGTAATTTTTTCATTGAAATAACCCCATTTTCCTTTATTCCCTCCTTGTGAAAATTTATTGTTTTAATAAAATTTTCTAAATTAAATGGTTTATTTGTTTCAAATGTCGCCATAATTTTTGCAATATTCTTTAAATATTCTGGAGTATAAATATTTCTATTTATAGTATATATTGGTAAAATGATTAGCCGAACTTTTGCGGCGCGTACACTTGCGGCTCAGACATTTGCGGCCCCGACACTTGCGGCTCGCCCCTATTTTGACACTTGCGGTCCCGACACTTGCGGCTATCAACTTGAGGCCCAGACACTTGCGGCCCAGACTATCGCGGTTTTGACATTTGAGGCTCCCCCCTATTGTGACACTTGCGGCCCGACATTTGCGGCCCTAACATTTGCGGCCCAGACATTTGCGGCTATGATTAAAAAATTAAGTAAATTTTTTAAATTAAAAGTAATTTTGAGTAATTTTTTAAGTGATTTTTATTTTCCACCTATTTTACCCTCCAAGTCTCATTATATTTCTTTTAATATCAACCTTACATCTCCCTAAAAATTCTTCAAATATACCTAGATTCCGCTTTTAATAATGGTTTTTATCAATATCAAGAAATAATTTCGTTTCAAATTGCATTGAGTGCATCTAACCTTCATAATTTTCATGAAATCTTATTCATAATTTGTGATTAACTGGGTGACTTTATGAATCCCAAAACGGAATTAATGATGGTATTCATAAATTAAAGATAAAAAATTATCTTATTTGTTGTCGAAATAATAATTGTCAACCCTTGATAATAACCCCGTCTCTATTATTTACTCCTTCCAGCGAGAGAATGGAACAATACAGGGTGACAAAAAAGTAACCGGGCACTTTTCTATCCTTTATAACTTTTTTTGTTCATATCATTTTTAGATAATTCTAAGTTTATTTTGTAGCCCATTTATTTCTCTATCATATAGTAAAATTAAAAATTTTTTGATTAAAGATTAAGAAAGTTATGTAATTTTAGGTAAACCATATCAAAATTTTCCCCCTAAAATTTTATTCTCTGTATCTCAGAAAGGAGAAGTCCAAACGGGATGATCTCAACAGAATTTAATTAAGATCATTAGCGAACCGGGCAAATCTGAAAGATGAAAATCCCAATTCCTACATGGATGGCTCTGAGTAGATGTAAATCAGTTTTGGGGGGAATGCGATTTTCTCATTTTGGGAGGGTAAATTTAAAAATACTTTTTAAATTTGTTGGGGAATAAAGGCATTTGATCTCTTGGGTCTTGTCATTTATAATTTTGATCTTGTGCTTGATACCGTCAAGAATGTTTATACATATTATTTTATTAGTTTTCACTTTAAATTGATCAGGTAAATTTAAAATATAAATGTCGTCATAAATTATTAAATAATAAAAATAAAAAAACAAAAAAAACGGGAAGACTATAGATTTAAATTAGTAACTGTAAATGTTCTAATATATGTAAGCCCTGGAAAGCTCATTTCGAGAAGCACTTTTAAGTTACATCATTGAGTGTTTAGGTCTTCTTCAAAGGCAATGCCGGTTAATCTTCAATAGGTCTTAGCGAATGAGCTTCCAATAGTGCATGGCTTAGATGAAGTAGAATAGTTAACATATATTTCTGAGCTGGAACAACAAATATTAGTTTTATGAAATATTTTATAACAAAAATTTTATTTTACAAAATTTATTGATAAAAAAGTACCAAATCTGCACAGACAAAATTTAACAAAAAAATAAAAATAAATGGAAGGAAAAAATAGAAATATCAATAAATGTACCCAAAATGAAAGGGAAAATATTCTAGTTTTAATGATAGCATCTGCACATTTTTTCAATTTTTACTAGAGCAAATTTCTCATGCAATAAACTATTTAATATTAAGAGGGTTATTAATTTAAATGGGGTATTAACAAATTAATTGTAAATTAAAAATATTTAATTAGCAAAAATAAAGATAATTAAGAGATGTTTTTAAATTGAAAATATTTAAAAAAATGCGACATAAGATGAGTGCATGTCTGTAATATGCATAACATAAAAACACAATGACTTTAAATTAAAACATTTGGTACATGTAATGTCACAATAATGTGACGATATTGAATTGAGGAAAGGTATGGCTAATTCGGACACGAGTTAAAGTGCATCCTCAACCAATAATGCACCGACACATTCAGATTTAAATGTTTTAAATTCGAAAACGAGAACGGCTTTTAGTCATTATTTGGATTAAATAGAAATTTTTAAGCAATATTTATAAAAATATTTAAGAATACCAAATTAAAAACAATAAAATAATTAAAAATATTTAAACAAGATTTTAAATTTTTAAACAATATTAACAATATTCACTTATTAATAGTAAAAAATATCAAGTAAAAATAGCTTAACTAATGCGGCATAAGTCAAGAAACACTAAAATCGACGATAAGCTTATAATTATTTGGAGATAAATATGTATTAATTATAAGTATTAACAAAGTTCTTTAAAAAATAAAAAGAATTTAAATTGTAAAAATTAAACTGCAAATGAACTTTGAAGGAAATAATGATCAATTAGTTAATAAAAATAAATAATTAGTGATAAAATGATTGCAGATAAGAATATTAAAAATTAGAGGAAAATATGTATGTTAAATATTGTCTGATTTTTGGGAAAAAATTTCTTTCTAAATAAAAAATAATGAATGGATGTTTTTATAAATATGCGGGTCAAAGTCAAACAAAATAACTAAATAAATATTTATTTAAATTAAACTGATAAAAAATATTAAATTGTTTAATAAAAAATAAAAATTTTTTTATTAAAGAGCAATAGGCGAGAATTTGGAGAATTTTGAAAGGCCTAGAGAATTTTTCAAATTTTTTTTCCAAAATTTTTTAGAAATGTTTATTTTACTATTTTATCAAAGAATATTAAATTTTGAAATATTAATGAAACATAATAAGCTCAATAAATCTCCACAAATCACGATAAAATTAATCGACTTCTCGAAAAAGTAACGAGATCCCGCGCGGTTTTAGAAATCTCTATTACTTTTTAATCTCAAATAATTATTTTCTCTTTTTATTTTATTTATCACAAGTTTGACCCAAAATATAATCGAAAATTTGCTAAAATAAATCCATTTTTCACAATTAAATTGTATGTATGACTCTCTATCTCTAATACAAAAAGAGAATTTATTTAAAAAGGGATAAATTCATCAATAAATCCTTCCATTTTTAGTTCACTTTAAACCGCAAAATGAGTGGATTGCGGTTATCCATTCAAAAAAACCGAGAATGACCATTAACGTATTTTTTCAGTATTTTTAACAATCATTTTGGATAGAATTTCAATATATTTTTTGCGCGCTATATTATTAAAAATTAAAATTTAGAGCAAAAATATAGAGAAAATTCTTTTTATGACTATGTATATGTATACGACTAAAAATTCCCAGCATTAGATACCTATGTAATATCTATTTAGTAATTTTCATAGATTTTTGTTTATTAATTATTAAAAGATTTAAAAACAGATAAAAACATTAGATATTAAAATGTTCCCAGAATTATTATTCTATCTTATATCGTCATTATTGATATTAAATATTAATGTAAATGCTATTGGCGAAAATCCTGTAAATTATTTAAATAAATTATCAAGTAAAACTTGTAATATTTAGTGGGATATTCAAAATTTTGCTGAAATTATTAGCGGTATCGGCCAAATGATTCAAAATCCAGCAGAGACTGTCGATGTTCCTTCAGCCCTTATTATGGGAAAATGGTTGGATTTATTTTTTTAAATAAAGTTGAATGTGCTTACTTACATCCCTACACAGTTCTATATTAGAGCTAAGAATGAGCGGAATATGAAAAGGAATTCTTGATCATTGTTGTTATTCCTGCTGGGCATTATTCACCGCTCAACCCTTAACAGTGATTAAACAGGCAACAACATTATCCTCAGATCGGCAATAATATAGGGTTGATCATTATTTGATCAACCAATTGATCCTTCTCATAGTTAATTTCTTGGATTATATGGACTGCGGATAGGTCGATCAATAGGAGAGATTATTTCTCAATTCATTTCCGCCGTATATCGGTATTGGTCAATATCAGCTACCAAGACAACTAATTTTCAATTCTCTTTTTGATCCATTCTTTTGTAAATCATTTTTGAATTTATTTATAAAATTAACTATAAAAATAATTTATTCTTAACAAAATTTAAAGGTTTCAAGTCTATAAAGCATCTGTCAGTTTTGACATTAACAGGCCGCAAATGTATTGTGCCGTTAGCTATTGTAATTAATAAATAATTCTTTCATTAAAATATTTTTTAAAGTTAAACCGAATAGTGTAATGGGTGAAGATGGATTTTCTATTGAGGTTTTTAATGAGACAAAAAAAATTAAATTTAAAAAAAATTAAAAAGGAAGCTTATCGTGCAGTGTCAAAAAATGGACCAATTGAGACTTTTAAAAGGGATTTAAATAAAGTAGGTACTGGCAAGTATTGGATGTATACTGAAGAATATTTTTATCCAAGACAATGTAAATAATTAATTTTAAAATCATAGATTACCTTATTTACTCAAATAATTACACTGGGTAGTTATATTTTCAACCTTTGGTTGGAGAGGGCATTTAATAAGGAGAGGGTAATTAATAGAATTAAATAAGGAACTATAATTAAAATAATAATAATTATTTAAAGTTTATATAATCAAAGTTGGACCAAAATTTGGAAATGATACACAAGTTGACGAAATAGATATACAATATATTATTGCAACTGGTGGGTATTAAGAAAATTTTCATTAAATTATATGTAGAGACATGCGAGACACTTGTCCTTGAATTAAGAGTTACATGGATTTTTACAGAGTTGGACTTTGAGTATTTTGAAAATTAAACTAAGACAGGATAAAGTCAGAAAAGTTAGGCTAGTTCCGGAAGAATGAATGTTCTTCAACAGAATTCAATACCCTCAAAAGTTCCGCCTTGGCGCATTAAGAGAGTAGGAATTAATAAGGGAAAAGCATAGCGTAAAATAAGAAATACAAGATAAGACATCGAAGGTCCTTGGAAATTTTTCGTCACACGTTTCACTATTAGATTATTTACTGATTAAAGTACTGATTGTTTTAAAAATGATTGTTATATGATTGTTTTAAAAATATTCTTACACGTATTTTAAAGATGCCAGTAAATTGTCTCTGACAGTCTATGCAAGAGAAGCAATGCTTTTCTTTAAAAAACATAATAAAGAAGTTATGGAATTTTTAAAAGGTAAAAATTATTTTAAAAAATTAACATATTTTTATATAGAAAAGGGATTTGGAGGAAAATTATTTTGGAATTCCCCAAAACCAATATATCAAGGAAATGATTGTGATTGGCCATCTGAGAGAGAAGTGTTTGCAAGAAGGTTAGATTTTATAGATAAATGGAATATGGAAGTATGCTATTCTATCAAATAATCTTAGGCACATATTTCCATTATTTTCCCTAAGGATTTTGGTATCCCTAGCTTGTTGGCAAATTTAGCCAAACCCTAGCTAATAGTTTCACATAGCTATGAGATAAAAGTGAACGTGTGAATGGGATGTGTCAATGGAAATAGCGATTAATAACTAATTGTAAGATAGTGAAATGACTGGAAAAATTCATTACCTTTGCGTAAACAAGCAACTGTTATACCTTACATATTTTTGTAACAAAGTGTCATCGCCAAAAAATTTAATTTTTAAAATAATGTTGCTGAATTTTTCAGAGTTTTAAAAAATTATGAACACAACAAAAAAGAAGCTGCTCGACCCACAACAAATATTACTCAAACTCCAAGTGAGGCATTTGCTGAAATTATGAAGAATCCTCAGCAAGCAATACAACAATTAATGCAACAAAATTTTAATTAAAAATAATTTTTATTTATTTTAAATTATTCTTCTCTAAATTAAATTTAACATCCCAAAAAGTAGCCTAACATAAATACTGAAATAAATACCCAGGGTAGTTATTGCGGCTCTTGTCCAGTTCATGCGTCCCATGAAAATTTATGCGTCCCATGAAGATTTAAGAGTCCCATAAAAATTTTTGCGTCCCATAAAATTTATGAGTCCCAAAAATAATTTATGCGTCCCATATAAATTTATGCGTCCCATGAAATGAATTGAAAAATTTTTTTTGTTAATCAATAATACTGTTCTTTGTCAATCAAATATTTATAGTATAAATTAGTATTTCACCGGAACCGGATCCAATTTGAGTTCCGGTTTCCGGAACTTTTCTAAGTTCCGGCCCGGAACCGGAACTTAAAAAATTTTGCTAGCAATTAAAAAATTGTATTTTAAGTAGTGTTGTCGGTTTAGCCAACTTCTTTGGTTATCAAAACCGAGCCAATTTGCCGGACCGTTATTGCTTCAATCTATCGCTGGAGAGGGAAATTATTAGGGAGTATTCAATCTATTCGAGTCAAATCCGATTTATTTCTTTATATTAGGTCTTAAAGTATTCCAATAAAATCCTACTGGATCCTGTCCGGTTCGACCTTTTAAAAAATCCGGTTACGGGATCCCGGGATCTTTGCCTTTATCAATATAGACTTTCAAGATTTTTGCCTGCATCGCTAAGAAAATGAAATTATCTCTTCTTTGGATTACTGAAAATCCATGATATTTGATTATTGTTAATCTTTGTGCCTTATAATGTTGGAGCTTTTAAACTGCTGACAATCATTTACGGGCACGCGAAAAGATACTACTACCATATTGTCCTCCATCCAATCTTACTATGAATTACCACAAAAATTAAAAATATTTACTTTGAATTAAACTTTTGATTTATTAAGTACAAAAAGTCAAATGTAAGTCACGTGAAGTATTTTGAAAATAGCTTTTAAATAAATAAAAAAAGTAGGGGGATTCCCTAAAGGAAGTAAAAATTGAAGGAATAAAATATTTACTAATTCCCCAGTAATTTTCCTTCCAGATTTTGTATAATAATCTAAAAAATGCATTTAAGTGAAATAGTCTTTAAATAAACATGTAAATTTATTTTCTAAAAATAACATTTTTATTTTATAATTTGACTTCATGCCAAATCTTTAACTAGTTATTTAATTAGCTTCAAAACTAAATACATAGCAATTTTTTAAATGTTAGATTAACTATTTAGACATAACTACTGATTTTAATGTTTTAGGAAAATCTTACTTAAAATAAAGCAAAAATTTTGATTTAGACTAGAGATTGGACTTGGAGTGTAGTACGAGAATCGTTATTGAAATATAGAAAATACTGATCTCGATAACCGAGATCTGATTTCAGACACTCTCTAATAGTAATCTATTTATTCCAAACATATTTATACAATCAACATATTCCAAACATATTCTATTTATATTGTTAAGCTTTTTTCATTAATTCCGTAAGCAAATCACGATATCAAGGATTAGGATGATAAAAGGATATAGCAGCTTAAACCTTCCAACGATGAAAATGATTTATTCATCTAACCTCTGATATCCCTACAAATTTCCTGGTTTACTCATTTATTTTTATTGAAGAGAACGCGAGCCTTTTTCTCTCAAAAATAAGCAATATTTTTATATCTCTCGCTGGGTTTCTCTAGTTTATGAGTTGAAATTCTTGAAACTTGGGTAGCAACAAGATTTACGAGTTCTGGATTTTCAGGGATCGGCGTCTAAATTTTAATTTTATCCACCTTTTTTGATTTGGAGAGATTTGAAGGTAGAAATGATTGTGATACGATGTGGTAAGAATAAGAGTGATAGAAGACCGAAGATTAATGAGGAAATCAGGAAATTATCAGAGATATCGGAGGTGGATGAATAAATCACTTTTATCGTTGGAGGTTTTAGGCTGCTATATCTTTTTATTATCCTAATACTTGATATCCTTCATTACCCCTATATGGGGATTTATCTTTGTTGCTAATAATTTTTTTTAAATTATTCAATGTTCAGTATGACTAAACTTAATTTAATAAGTGGAAAAATGTATACCTATTTAGAAAATAATTTTTAGTTTTTTCTAATTTTATTTACAAACAAATTTATTTATTCATATTTAATACTCTAAAAATCAACAGATTAAAAAGCTTTAAATACATTACTGTATTCACATGTATTTATTTAATTTTTTAGATGGAGCATCGGAAATAGGGGATTTATTTTTTTAGATTAAGCAGTTAAATAGAGAAAAAAGAGTGACGTGGAGAGCGAAAAAAGCCAAAAGTTATTGGCATAATATTATTTGTTTTTGCTTTTAGTAAACATTTACTCTTTCTCTAAATCCGATGCAGCCAAAACAGTTGATTTCTATTTTTGGTTCAAAGCAGAGTTGGACCATAAACTTCAGTGTTGGGGCTTTTATCGGAGTTACGGATTTCTGGGGCGGGTTAGATAAAATCGTTCGGGGTCAGGGTTAGAGAGATTGGTCGAGATCGGATATAAAATAGGGCAGGGTTAGTCGGGATCGGAGTTAGTGTGTACTTATCTCAATAATTACCCTCTAGTTTATTCAAAAATATTATGTATCATAAAAGCAAAAAATAATATGTTCAAACATTTTATCAAATTTAATTATTGGAGTATTTTAAGAATCAAAATATAAAAGTACACTTGGCTCTATTACACAATATACGTCCAATGAAAAGATTATGCGTCCAATAAAATTTTATACGTCCAAAGACATTTTTATTGGTGACCGGGCCGGATCCGGCCGGATTTTTCCAGAGTCCGGATACCAAATCCGGGTTTTTTTCGCGATCTCCGGATATATCCAGAAAAATCCGGCTGGATCCGGTCCGGCTCCATTGCCAAATCCGGATCCGAATCACTTTTAAAGGATTTGAGATTTGTCCGGTGATGGGGACGGTTGTTCATGTGACGGGAACAGTTGTCTATTAACAGCTTTTGAGCAAGGCGTTATAATCAGAGGTGTTTCGAAATTTCGATTTTCGTTTTTCGATTTTCGAGGTTTTTTCCTTTCGATTTTCGATTTTCGAAATTTTGTATTATTTTCGATTTTCGATTTCCGAATTTTTGAAAAAATTTGAATTTTTGGCGCCAAAAATGAGGAATTTTGGCTTATCGGCCATCATAAATTTAAAAAATTTTCGCCTGCGGCGCAGAAAATGGACGAGTTTTGGCTTAAGGATCCTCCAAAATTTTCAAAATTTTCGCCTGCGGCGCTAGTTTGAAGAAGCCCTGATCCATTAACAATATTATGCTTCGGCTCCGGTATATTGGAGGAGGTACCGCCCAACCCTATGAATGCCAGGTACCGCCCAACCCTATGAATAAATCGGCCTAGTTCTTTTCTATATTAGGGGACTACTACTATATCCCCAATTCCTTAGAGTTCAAGCAAAAGTTCCAACTTACCTAGACCTAACATAACAAAAAATAATTTTCCAATTTTTTTTATTAAAAAAATTTTTTTCGATTTTCGTTTTTCGAGGTTGTTTTTCTTTCGATTTTCGATTTCGAAGATTTTGAAAAATATTTTCGATTTCGATATTTTTGGATTTCTTTCGATTTTCGATTTCCGATTTTCGAAAATTATTTTGTTTCGAAACACCTCTGGTTATAATATATAAAAATTATTTCGATTTTTTCTGAATTTATTTTTTTCACTGGGGTATAAAAATTTATTTGGACACATAAACTTTGATTGGACGTATAAAAATTTGATTGGACGCATAAATTTTTATTGGACGTATATTGTGTAATAGAGCCTTACACTTTACCTTGGGATTTAATTTGGACATTTTATCTGTCAATCGAAAGAGCTGATGAGCTGAGTCGAATGACTTCAAAATTATACCACGGAAACAAATTTGGGCCAAGATATAAGCTACTAAATGTGAGAAACCATGGGTTTTTAATGTTTTTTAGTGCTTCGCCGGGAGTTCCTAGGCCGGAAGCTTCGGGATTTTTTGGTTCCGGTTCCGGTTTGGTTGTAATGTTCTGGTTTCTGTTCCAGTCCTTCAATTCCGGTTAAACCGAAACTTTTAACACCCCTAAGATTTTTTGAAATTTACGTTCAAAAATATAAGGACAACTTATGACGGTATATGACATACTTGAACACATTCCTAACGTAAGTGTTACGAGTACTAATTCCGCGGATGTAGAATATACTGAATAAAACATTTATTATATGCCTCACAATTTATATTTTAATCTCGAGTATTTTAAATATTTTTAATCTTTATTCAAAAAATAATCCAAAAAATTGAATTTTTAAAAATTATTATCATTAATTTATTGCATCGTATTCATTATTAGTTTTATGTGTAATTTTCACAAACACGTGATTAATCTATTAATTTTTTACATCCTCATAAATTAAACTTTTTATTAATTCTTAAAATTTATTAGAGTGCATTTGGCATATAATTTATTTCTACTTAGTATTTCTTATAATTCTTATTAATTTTCGGAACTATTTAA